AAGGCACAAAATCGGCACAATGGAGAAGACAGAATTGCGCAAAAGTAATCGCAAAGCCACTACGGAGGTTCAAAATCGCGGAACCGTTGAGGAAATCGGCAACCAACAATGAAAGAAACAAAATCGTTTGGAGGAACAACGACGGCGACGATGGAGATGGAAAATCACTACAGCCAGAGGTGAAGGAATCACTCACAGGAATTCAGAAAGAAAGGGAAAGTTGAAACTGAAATGACATTGACAGTACCACACACGATTTTCCTAATTAAATATGGCTTGGGGGATTGTACAAAACATCATTGTTTTGTAGTACTACAAAACCCAATCCAATAGTCTTAATTTGGGAAGGGAATATCCAATGCTCAATATTATAAAGGAGCAAAGAGGGAAAGTAGAAGAGAGGGAGAGGTTAACCGGATTTTGCTACCCGAATTTTAGGCCTGACCTGCACGGATTCAGAAACTGTTTTTAGGGTTTTTTTCAAATCTTCTACGGAAGTTCAACGGACTATAGAGAATTCATTTTACGTTGGATTCCAAAAAAAACATTGCGTAGAAAAATAAGATTTGTTGTACCCTACAAGATGATGACATCCATTTTGATATTTTTGCAGCAAAATTTTTAGGTCATTATAAGAGTTCATATAAAGTTCATGTCATTCATATCAAGATCGAATCGTTTCTATGTCATTCATATCAAGATCATATAAACTCATATCAATAACATATGAGTTCATATCAAGTTCATGTCATTCATATCAAGACCGTATAAGTTCTATGTCATTCATATCAAGATCATATAAGTTAATATCAAGATCATATCAGTTGATATCATATCATATCAAGTTCATGTCATCCGTATCAAGATCATATCAGTTCATAATTTTTTCATATAAATTCATATGAGTTCATATCAGCTCATTTCAATATCACATCAGTTCATATCCTGGTCATGTTATTCATATCAAGATCCTATTAGTTATATATTACAGTCCTCATTAATTATTGTTTTCACGGTAACAACATTTATTATGTTGTTATATTCTATCCGGAGTCAACAACTTCCTTTGCCTAGTGACTACGGTTTTTTTTTAAGAACTACATCTTTTATTACCAGGAATCTCAGCTGACGTGTCACTTTGTAGTAGAATGGCCTATTAAATTTGGGGCCATCTGTATTCAATTCTAGCCAATAGGGCTTCGTCCCCAGCAGCCTTGTACCTCCTGGAACACCAATGGGCCTCGCTTAGTGATAGAAACTCATATTTTTGGGGATTATTGTTAGTTTATTATTTGGGTAGTATTTGAGAACTGAATGGTTAAAGGTCGTCCTAAAAATTACTAACCAACGTCCTAACTTAATATGTAATTTACCAAATTGTCCATTTTTAATTTCAAAATCAAACACAAAACAAACAACCCCTCCCCTTCCATAAATCTAAAAAAAATATAAACCAAAATTCAACAAATTATCTTATGGACCGAACCATAAATCGTAGTAAAAGAATAGAAAATTATTGATATAAACCAAACAAATCAAAAAAAAACCAAAAACCCTCAACCGAAGCCAATTTTCGGTTGTACCATGGACCAACCGAAAATCACCTTCGGTTGCACCATGGTACAACCGAAAATTGCCTTAGGTTGAGCCATGGTACAACCGAAGATGATTTTCGGTTGGTCCATGGTACAACCGAAAATTGCCTTAGGTTGAGCCATGGTATAACCGAAAATTGGCTTCGGTTAAAGGGTTTGGAATTTTTTTTGAAAAAAAAATCAGATTTTTACCTCGTCGGAGTCGCTACTCATGATTCGGACGTATTCTCAACGATTACAACTCAAGAATGTCAACGATGAATTCGAGAGTGGGAAATTGAGTGTTTTTTATTTTTTTTACTTAAAGTGATGTTTGTTTGCTAAAAATGTCAAAAGGTTAAAAGTGTAACTTTATTATTTTTTAGGACGATCAATAGTAATTTTAAGGACGACCTTTATCAATTCCCTTTGAGAATTATGCATTTAAATAAATATGCTTGTACGTGGGATTTACCACTAAGCAAGATTAAACCTAAAATTCACCCTAACCTCCCTATCTCTCTCCTCCCTCTGCCGATTCCCTTCTCCCTCTCTTAAGCGGCTGCCGCCGCCAACTTCCCTCTCTTCCCTAGTCCTCTCGGCTGCCAAGCAGTCGTTCCCCCTTCTTCTTTCACTTCCCACCCATTTTCCAACTCTCCCTTTTGTTGATTGCTCCAAGGATCAATCCCTAGTTGATCCCTTCTAAATCCAATCCCTAGATAGAACTCGATTTACCGGGTTCTATCATTTGGTATCAGAGCCCATCTTTCGATTTTCACGAGATCATGGTGTCCACCAAGTCCCAAACAACGGCCGAAAAGGCGGCCAAGGCTGCGCAGGAGAAGGTCGTGTTCGCGGCGGCAACGGGGTTGCCGTCCTCCGTCGACGGCGCGAATGATGCTTTCCGACCAAGGAATAGCGAGCTAGTCGATGAGACCGCCGGTGAGGAGCTCTGCACCGGCGTGCAACTGATGGCAGATGCGATGGAACAGGAACGCCAAGCCAGGTTGAAGGGCGAACGAAACCGCGAGGCGGACTCGCAGGCGCTGTGGCTCGCATTTGGCGAGCTCCAGGAGATGCTGGCCGTCGTCCTCGGGTGATCAGGAGGCGGTGGGGGTGGCTCGACCGGCGGAGGGGGTTTGTGGGCGAAATCGTCGGAGGAGGCTCCACCGGCCGCGGTAGGGGAGGCGTAGGGGGCGGCCGCCGAGGCCAGACGGGGCGCGAGCGGCGACAGGGCAAGGGTGGGCCCAGGCCCGCTAGGGTTGGGAGCCGGTTCCGGGATACTCCCTACACCAACGGCCCAGGAAATTGCGACCCACAAGGGTAAAGGTAAGATGCCGGGTTATGACACGGAAGGGCCTCTACTGAATGATGGGCCGGAGATGGTGGGGAAATTTTCGAGAAGCGCCAATGGGCTTGGGTGGTTGGGCTTGGATGACGAACCCGAAGATGGCGAGCTCAGCTGGGTGGACCAACAGGCGCACTGTGCCGAACCAGTTGTGGACCAGAGGGGTGGCGAACTGAGTAAGACGGTCGACCCGGCCGGGCGGATGGGGTCCGCTCTTGTTGGACGGACCGCGGCCGGTTGGACCGTTGCTGGATGGACTGAGCCCGGGGGGACCAGGGTGGGTCAACCCGAGGTGGGTCGGACCGGACTCGGGTGGACCAACACTGGTCGACCCGAGGTGGGTCGGACCGGACCCGGGTGGACCAGCACTCATCAACTCGAGGTGGGTCGAACCGGACACCGACCGAATCCAACCAACCAACAGTCAAGAAGGGCGGACATCAAGGGAACCGCATGCTGGAAGGGTCCGTTTGGGGGACCCAACGCTCCTGGAGGGTACCTGGACCAACCGGGCGGCTACTCGGGGTACTAGGGCCTAGGAAATTCGAGTCGTGGGTAGGGGTTCTCGCACGGGTGATGAAAGATATGGGTCGTATTGTCATACTTATGAAGGAGCGGATGGTATAGTTTTTCGAGCAAAACCTCCTACCATTGAGTTTCCAAAATTCAATGGGCAAGAGGACGCATGCCTCTGGTTGTATGCAGCTGAGCGGTGGTTTAAGAACCACTCGATTTCAGAGGAGAGAAAGGCTTATCTGGCATCCTTTTACTTGGAGGGCGACGCGCTGCAGTGGTGGGAGTGGATGGAGATATCCTACGCGGCAGCAAAGACCTTGATCACCTGGCCCATGTTTCAGGAGGAGCTCAGCTACCAGTTTGGGAAATCGGAGGGGTGGGCACCGGAGCAGCTTGCTAAGTTGAAACATACCGAGACGATGGCAGATTATCAAGCAGAGTTCTTTAAGCTGGGTAAACAGTGCAGCGGAGTGCCGGAGGATACGCTGGTTGGGTAATGCATGGCGGGACTGAAGCCTGAAATAGCGGCAGCAGTCAGAGTCTTTGAGCCAGACTCCTTGAAGTCTGTTTTTCAACTTGCAGGTCATAAGGAGGAAGAACTCGCGAGCTGGAGGAGCACTATCGGCTGATATCCACGGCCGAATGAGGGAGGTAGCAGCAGTGGGGCTGGCGGAGGAGGGTCTGCGCCAATCAGCGCGGCAGGGGCAAGCGCCGAAAGCGGGAGCCCCGCAGTGGTCACATCCCCGGCGGCCAGAGTGGGACCCCGACAGCTGCCAAGGGGTTCGTGCGACTGACGCCTGCCGAGATCGAGCAGAAGCGGCGGGAGGGCAAGTGTTTAATTGTGATGGTCGGTTCATTGTTGGCCATCAATGCGCAAAGCCAGACTTTATGATGCTAGTAGGGCGTTGGGAGGATGAAGCGGAGGACGCAACAACAAACATTGAGGCCGCTAAGGAAGAGAACCAATAAGTTAGGAATAACATTGGGGACAAGGTTATTTTCGAATGAAGCGGGGATGATAGAGACTCTTCTTTCTGGAGATTATTGTTAGTTTATTGTTATTTCGGATTATGAGGGTTATTTCAAGTTAATTGTGGGAGTTAATTATTTGGATAATATTTGAGCATTATGCATTTAAATAAATATGCTTGTACGTGGGATTTACCACTAAGCAAGATTAAACCTAAAATTCATCATAACCTCCCTATCTCTCTCCTCCCTCTGCCGATTTCCCTTCTCCCTCTCCCAAGCGGCTGCTACCGCCAACTTCCCGCTCTTCCCTAGTCCCTCTCGGCTGCCAAGCAGCCGTTCCCCCTCCCCCCTTCTTCCTCCACTCCCCACCCATTTTCCAACTCTCCCTTTTGTTGATTGCTCCAAGGATCAATCCCTAGTTGTTCCTTCTAAATCCTATTCTAGATAGAACTCGATTTACTGGGTTTTATCACTTGGATTCGCGACAGCTTTACCTTTAGGCTCTCCATTTTGACCATAACCTCTTGTCTCTATATATCTATTTTTTTTTATAGGAATAGCCTATATTTTTTTCCAGTAGAAATAAAATAATCGAAGAAAAACTAAAAAACCTTATATCCTTTGCCTTCCCTTTCTTCATCTGCAAAGAAGCAAAAGGAGGAGAACAAGAACCGAGGAAATTGGTTGCAGAGATGAACAGCTTCACCGGCAGCGACAGCGATGAAGAAAAGGGATTGCTGTGGAAGCTTCCGGAAGTGAGGGTGAAGGACATCGGGAAGGTCGGCCCAGCCTTCGGGTTCGGCGCCGGTTGTGGAGTCGGGTTCGGCGTCGGCCTGATTGGAGGCTTTGGAATCGGTCCTGGAATTCCCGGTCTTCAGGCCGGTATTGGATTGGGTGCAGGTTGTGGGATAGGTTATGGCTTTGGTTATGGTGTGGGGAAAGGCGTAGCTCATGATCACAACCGCAGATACTCCAATGTTGGCAACCATTTCCGTGGTCGATCCACTCTTTCCACTACGCAGTAAGTACATCCGATACTTTCTTTTTTGTTTTGCTTAAATTTCCCTGATTTTGTGCTTGTTTCTTCCATGGAAAGCTTTCATCTCTTTACATTTGGTAGCACATATTTACACTAGCTGTTCGCTGTCAGTTCCAATTATGCTGCTCTTGTTTAGGTAACATTCCGAATCTGGATGCTGATAGAGTTTATCGAGATCATACCAGAGCGGTATTTTACTGTTACGTGTCATGTTAGGCCCAGTCAAGTACAATTTGTATCTCTGTAGTCATGCTCATTCGCAATACAACTCGCAAGATGAAAATTCGATTGTGTTGCTTGCTGCCATGGATCTTATGAGAACAAGGTTGGTCAAAAATTTCGATTTGGTACAAAAATTTCTCCGTCGTCTGGAAAAGAATACCAGAACACCGTTGGGACTTCAAAGTTCAAAGTGACATTAGAGAGTAGAGAGAAGTAGAATGTTAATCTAAGCAAGTGTAGATTTTTCCCTAGCTATTATGTTCCCTTTTTGTGCCTGCATTGAAGCCATGTGGTCAAAACTCAAGATCTTTATTACTTTGCAAAGTAAATGTGTTCTTTCCGATCTGCTGTACTGCTAGCTATGTTCCTTAAGGTTGCAGCGAGCTATATGAGTTTCATGTGAATTGTGACTCACTGGTTCTTTGAATTGGTATTATTCTTCACTAGTGCTCTGTATTAGTCGTGCACTAGCAGTTAGCCACAATGGGGTGAATCCCAGGTGCATATAGCAGCACCAAACACCTTCAAATGAACTATTGGTTCACTGATTCTGTGTATGATATTATATGCGCGTGAGTGCCACATTCTTTGTGCACTTGCAGTTAGTCACAATAGTGTAAATGCCAGATTCATATGGCAAGCAGACAGCTCTATGTATCAGGTCGCGCTTGCTCCAAGCAGCCCGGTGTTTGAATTGGTTGTTACAACTTTGTACTAAAGATTGGTGGAGACCCATCCTGCAATCACTAATGCTTTTCTCTTTCTGGGTTGTTGTTATCAGGGATGAGATTGGTGCCCTGTTAAGTGAATTTGCTGTAAAGGCGGAGAGGAGAGTTAAGGCGATTGCTAGAGATTGGAAGAGGTGGACGAGGGATAATTAAAAGTTAGAACTGTTATGGAGTCGTAGGTGTACATACACATCTAATAGCAAAACGGTTGTCGATCTTCAGATTGCCTTTAAGGAGTTGAAAGTAACACCAGGGGGAACTAGATTGTTAATGTGAGTGAGTTTACATTGGTGATGGTAACTGTACCTCTGTGCCCGTCCGAAGCCATGTAGTAAAAACCTCTTATTACTTTACCAAGTAATTAGCCTCCTATAGAGAAGAAAGGGAAGAACTAGCAACTGTTTGCTTATGGATTCTTTGAATTGCTGTATCATGTTGACAGTGAATATCAGCTAGTTGCTATATGCAAATCATGTGACTCATAAAACACCTTCTAGTATCAGGCCACGCTCTTGCTCTGAGTCTAAAGTACAAATCTGAAGCGCTTGATATTTGCATTGCTTGTACAATGTCTACTGCTGGTGATAAACATTAGTGACAAGCCATGCTGCAATTACTAATGTTTCTCCATTTCTGGGTGCTACTGTCGTCAGGGATGAGCTTGGTGCCCTGTTAAGTGATTTTGCTGTCACCGCGGAGAGGATAGTTAAGGCAACTTCAAGAGAAATCGAAAAGTGGACGAGATAGTTAACAATGTTAACAGTAAAAGTTTGTACATGCATTTCTGATATTGCAACTTATTAAACATCACACTGCTTGCTTGGAGTTAGCGCTTTGGGTGGTACTGTAATATTGTGAGGTTTCATGTCGGTCATTTGGTGCCTGCCAATTAGAAACATTGCAGCGCTCGAACACCTATTTATCCGCTGCCCGGTAGCAATTTTCCTTTGCCATCCAGCATCCACATTGATGCAATTGCATTTTGCAATTACATTTGTGGTTTTTTTTACACATCATTTTTCAAACTAATTCACTTTACTTTTATTGTACCTACATTGGTGCAATTAACTTGCAATTACATATGGAGTCTAATTTTTTTTAATATATAAACTTTTTTATAAATACCTTTTTATCCATATTACAAGTAAATAAAATAGTAATTTATTTTAATTTAATTTAAACGGAATCTATACAATTAATGTATAAAATTTTTATTACTAATTTATTGCAATTACTGCATCAGAGTTGATTAAATTTTGTCGTTGGATATGAGGTGCATAGGTGCTCAAAATTCTATTCATTTTCAATTTTCTTGGCCGCCTAACGAGGCCTCTTATAGCCCCTCCCAGGTTCTGCGTCGGCTGAAGAACCACAGACTTCTGTCTGAGTGGGAGTATGCGGCTCCTTCTCCTATCGGGAGCACTGGCTCATGTTCCGGCGGATGGATTGCGATTCATGTTGAACATATTCGGATGGTACAGAGATTTCCGTTGGATCCGATTTTGACTAACACCCTGTTATTCCTTAACTGTTCATTAGGCCGCCTCTCTCCTAGCATAATCTTTCATTCCATTGTCTTCCGAGCGGCATGCGAAAGGCTGAACTCGATGCCTTCATTCGATGTGTTTCTCCTCCTTTACTCCATCCGCAGGTCGCACAACTATTGGTCTTGTTACAAACGTGAGACCCATGTGGGCTTTGTCTATGGGGGCGCCGAAGATGGAATCACCTTAGTTCATAGAATATTTTTTTGCCCACCCGACGTGAAAATGGTATTCCAGTGAGGTGGAACTGCCGACGCGCTTTACGTTCGGCTCCAAGGCAGATTGGAATACCGATCTTGATTTGCTTCGCGCTCGGCCCAAAGGTCTTCTTGGTCGAATAATTTCAACCGTCCAATTTTGTCTTCCTCCGAAGGTGATATAATCAAAGTTGCGCAGGGTCAAGCTTCTCGAACCAAACAGAACCGGATAGGATGGAAATCGATCGGACAGTACTCACCCGTGAATAAGGGCAATCGATATATGAATCGATCGGACAGATTCAACTCGGAATAAAGGGCAATCGATATGGGTAGCTCGCCACAACCAGGGTGATTACCTAGCTGATAAGAGTCGCTCTAGCACTCTGGAGATTCTCGACAGAGCAATTAGGGCAAATTCCGCGTAGGGAACTCGGCTTTAGCCTCTGAAATTCAATAATAATCGTCTAAGGGCAAAACCAACGTGTTCAGCCCTTTAAATAGGCAAAATACAACCCAAATCCGACTCTAACATGGAAAAACAATCATAAACCGACTTTAAAACAAGGAAACTCGGAAACATCCCAGCAAACCCGTTAAGCCCAACCCGTTAAGCCTGGACCCGTTAAGTAAACCCGTTAAGGCTGGACCCGTTAAGCAAACCCGTTAAGGCTGCTTCTTGCAATCTGCCTTTTCTTCAGCACTTCCTCCTTCTTCCTCCACTCGAATCATCATATATGGCTTCCCTCGAAATAGCTCCACATCCATGGCTCCAAAGTAGCTATCCAAATATGTCGCAAGCTTCTCCTTCAACGTCCTTGCCTTAGCACGTGTGACTGGCCCATTGATGTCCTCATCAGCCCCTCCTTCTTCAAAAGGATTTGCCCTCAAATCCGAATTGCCATCCAAATAAGGTGCAAGGTCAGAAACATTAAACGTTGCACTTACTCCATACTCTCCCGGCAAGTCGATCTTGTAGGCATTGCTTCCAATCTTCGAAACCACCTGGAAAGGACCATCACATCTGGGCATTAACTTCGATTTCCTCTGCTGGGGAAACCTCTCCTTCCTCAAATGCACCCACACCCAATCGCCAACTTCAAAGTGCCTCGGTTTCCTATTTTTGTTCACATTGCGCATGATCTGCTCCGTCCTTCTCTCAATGTTCAATCTCGCCTTCTCATGTAAACTCTTCACAAACTCAGCTTTCTTGGCTCCATCGAGATTGACCTGCTCATTCAAAGGTAATGGTATCAAATCCAATGGAGTGAGTGGATTGAAACCATACACGAGCTCAAACGGAGTGAACTTCGTCGTCGAGTGCACCATCCTGTTGTAAGCAAACTCTACATGGGGAAGGCAGTCCTCCCAAACCTTGATGTTGCTCTTGATCACAGCTCGAAGCATCTGGGATAATGTTCGATTGACCACCTCTGTTTGCCCATCGGTTTGAGGGTGACATGTAGTAGAGAACAACAGCTTCGTCCCCAGTTTGCTCCACAATGTCTTCCAGAAGAAACTCAGAAACTTAGTATCTCGATCGGATACTATGGAACGCGGCATCCCATGCAGTCGCACCACTTCCCTGAAAAACAAATCAGCCACGTTAACCGCATCGTCAGTCTTATGGCATGGGATAAAGTGTGCCATCTTCGAGAATCGATCCACCACCACGATAATCGAATCTCTTCCCTTCCTTGTCCGCGGCAAACCAAGCACAAAATCCATAGAGATGTCGATCCATGGAGCATATGGAATCGGTAGCGGTGTGTACAATCCAGATGATTGCACCTTCGACTTGGCCTGCTTGCACTCCACACACCTCGCACACAGATTCTCCACGTCTCCCTTCATGTGCGGCCAATAGAAGTGCTCTTGTAGACAACTCAGCGTCTTGTCTACACCGAAATGTGCCATTAAGCCTCCTCCATGAGCCTCTTTCAACAGCAACTCTCGAAGTGATGATCGAGGAATACACAACTGGTTAGCCCGAAACAAGTAGCCATCACTTCGATAGAACTTCCCATCGCCATGCTGCTCACAAGCTCTATAGATCTCCCCAAAGTCAGCATCATCAGAATAGAGCTCCTTGATATGCTCGAAACCCAAATACTTCACCCCCATTGTCGTGATCAACGAATGTCTTCGAGATAGGGCATCAGCAACTACATTTTCTTTGCCCTGCTTGTACTTGATCACATATGGAAAGGACTCAATGAACTCAACCCATCGAGCATGTCTCTTGTTCAGCTTGTGTTGAGCTTTCAAATACTTCAACGACTCGTGATCAGTGTGAATCACGAACTCCTTCGGCCAAAGATAGTGCTGCCATGTCTCTAAGGCTCGAACTAGAGCATAAAGCTCCTTGTCGTACGTCGGATAGTTGAGGGCAGCCCCACTCAACTTCTCGCTGAAGTAAGCAATCGGCTTCTTCTCTTGCATCAACACTGCTCCAATTCCCAAACCAGAAGCATCACACTCCACCTCGAATGTCTTATTGAAATCCGGCAACATCAGAATAGGTGAATGCGTGAGCTTGTGCTTGAGCAGCTCGAATGCTCTGGTCTGCTCCTCTCCCCAATAGAACGTCACGTTCTTCTTGATGATGGATGTCAATGGTGCGGCAATGGTGCTGAAGTTGGGCACAAATCGACGATAAAATCCAGCAAGCCCATGAAAGCTCCGCACCTCATTCACGTTGGTTGGAATAGGCCAATCGCGAATTGCTTTCACCTTCTCTTCATCCACCTTGACTCCATCTGCACTCACCACAAAACCAAGAAAAATAACACTAGAAGTGCAAAACGAGCACTTCTTGAGGTTAGCATACAATTTCTCCTTTCTCAACATCGCCAACACCTCTCTCAAGTGATTGAGATGATCCTCCATGCACTTCGAGTAGATCAGAATGTCGTCGAAGTATACGACCACGAACTTGCCAATGAATGGCCTCAAAACATGGTTCATCAGCCTCATGAAAGTGCTAGGGGCATTGGTTAAACCAAAGGGCATCACCATCCATTCGTATAGACCCTGCTTGGTCTTAAACGCAGTCTTCCACTCGTCTCCCTCCTTCATACGAATTTGGTGGTAACCTGATCTCAAATCAATCTTGGAAAACACCGTAGAGCCATGTAATTCATCAAGCATATCATCTAATCGTGGAATTGGATGACGATACTTAACTGTAATTTGATTGATGGCTCGGCAGTCTACACACATCCGCCAGGTGTGATCCTTCTTTGGCACGAGAATCACCGGAACTGCACACGGGCTCAAACTTTCTCGAACATGCCCCTTCTCCATGAGGTCGTCAATCTGCCTTTGCAGCTCTTTGGTCTCTTCCGGGTTAGCTCGATATGCTGCCTTGTTTGGAATTTGAGCTCCCGGCACGAAATCAATTTGGTGCTCAATTCCTCGAATAGGAGGCAGCCCCTTCGGTGCTTCCTCTGGAAACACATCCTCGAACTCATCCAACACCACTCTTGCTTCGGCTGGAACTTCTTGGACTAGCTCTTGATTGAGCAGCACGTCCCTGTACATGAGCACAATCAAAGGTTCTTGTGCACAGGCAGCTTGCTTCAAATCTCCATTGCGTGCTAGCATCACTGCCTTGGAATCCACAATTCCAGCTCCCTCTTCTCCTTTCTTGGCCGAGGCATTACTTGCCTTTTCTTGCTCTCGACGTTGCTGCATTTGGAGTTGATCTCGATATACTTCACTTGGAGACAGAGGCTTCAACACGAACTTCTTTCCTTCATGTTGCAACTTGTACTTATTTGTCACTCCATCATGCTGTGCTTGTCGATCAAATTGCCATGGCCTGCCAAGAAGCACATGTGCAGCTTCCATAGGCACTATATCACACAAAATCTCATCTTTGTAATCTCCAATCTCGAACTTCATTAGTGCCTGCTTTGTGACTTTGATGGATCCGTGATCGTTAAGCCATTGCAGCGTGTATGGCTTTGGATGCTTCAACGTAGGCAGCCCTAGCCTCTTCACCGCACACACGCTCACAACGTTCGTGCAACTTCCTCCATCGATCACTAGCGACAGCAACTTCCCGTCAACTACACATCTCGTATGGAAGATATTTTCTCTCTGTTCACTCTCCTCCTTAGGCTGCACAGACAATACTCTCCGTGCTACAAACAAGCTGCCTGGAGGTGGTTCCATTTCCATAGACTCATCGACATCAGAATCGGTGGTCTCTTCCTCTTCCTCCGATACATACTCACCATTATCAAGCAAGATCAGGGTCTTCTTATTGGCACACTGGCTC